TACGTATTTCGACTACAATCCGCAGTCTTCATCAGTGTCATTCCCACTAAAAAATTGATCAAAATCTAACCCCCTAGGGGTTCTTTAGTGGGAATGATACTGATGAAGACTGCAAATTGTAGCCGAAATACGTATCTATCATGGATACCAAAATTAACTAAGTAGAATTATATGGAAGCTAACCTTTTTTGCTTTTATTTAAGCATTCCGCTAACAACCCAATTTCATTACTTCATTAAATTTTTGGAGGTTATTTGTGGGAAAATAACAATTTTCGCGACTTAAGATTTGGAGCAAAAATAATTCAAATGTGAGATTTTGAAAAAAAAAATCAAGATAACAGATTTGAAAAAAAAAAAAAATCTTATATATGGGTCGTGGAGTTATAATTGTCAAGGTTCTGAGACGTGGAAGCATTTTAAGGGTTATAACAAATTACAGAACAATCTATAGAATCTTGTGGACAAACCCTGGATTTTTTAGTAAAAATTAAAAGTATTCAAAGTGTTAATTTCAAACAAATATTGAGGAGCATTACCACATAATTTTCGAAGGGAAAATTTCTGACCAGAATTCCAGAATTATTCTGACATGAAACCCTTAGAAATTGTTGGAAAGAATTTGGAGGGATTTCTGTGCAGAAGAATGCAAGTTCCTAATTAAATTCTTAGGTAATTTTAGAAAATTTCAAAAGGAGATGAATCCAAGAGAATTATTATGAGAATTCAACAAAAAAAGAGAGTTCTAAGAGTGTTCCGGGGATAATTTCTACCCTAATGCGAAAAATTCATCACAGAGATTCAACAGTTGGAAAGAAATTCTTTAAAATACTCCAAGGGGTTTTTAAATAAAATTTCAAAATATTTCTGCTGCTTTGAATAGAAAATTTGGAAAAGAATTTCAAAGGAATCAAAGTCTCCGAATAGGTTTAAGGCAATTCTAAGGATTCCAATCAAATTCTTAGAAGGAGTTTCAAGGAAATTCCTAAAAGAATTCAATGGTAATTATTACGCGGAGTGTTTTCTGGTTAATTTCAGAAGAATTCCATCATAATTTTGAGCAGAATTCAATGTTAATTCTGGAATTCATATCATGAGCATTTTGGATAACGAAAAATTAAAACCCCGGTAATGAATAGTTCAGTTTCGGTTTTTACAAATATTTGTTTCGAAAGTCCAGCATGTTCCATATTTATTTTTAATGCCCATGCACTTAAAATCTGAAATTGAAACGACAAAAATCAATATGAAATACTGCTGAGTGATTAAATTCTAAAAACAATAAGACGGGAAACTGAAGAAAATTATGCAGCAAATAGAGTAAGACATTCATTTGGTAAAGAATCACTCTGTTTTAATGGTTTATTCTGAAATCCTGGTGTAAAAATTTCTCTTCGAATTTCCGGGGTTTTCCAGGTTTTCCCGGTTATTTTTAAAATTCCCGGCTATTTCCCGGTATTCCCGATTTTCCCGGTTCGCTGGCCACCCTGCGTCTATGAGCAGTTTTGAAAAAAAAACACGCAGCTCTAGGATCAGTTTCATGAATTGACGACTTTTACGGATGTCCCGGCTCTTCCAGAGGACCAGACTTCTGACATTCCGGATGTAAATTGTCCCATAAGGAGACCATCTATCTTGTTAATAACTTTTCAGGAAGTTATCTCTTCAAATTACCCTACAATAAGTGTTTGTCCCCCAATTAGCTCTAATCCCGTGTATTCGTTAATGCCGGTTCCTATTGTGCGGTCCCTATTAACCGTACTATAGGAATTTTGAGCATGAGCATGATTGACCACCCCCGGTTGCTACTCTGTTATTGCCAGATCAGCTGTAATTACACAGAGAACCAATAGACGATGCTTGGGACTAGCAATCATCCTTAATGTGTAAAAACTGGTGATCTCAAACTAGGCAATACCAGCGCCGGCAGCGCCCGAACACAGGTCAAAAAAGGAATGGGTAGGAATGTGTTGACGTGACACTCGCTTTGATGGAAGCCGAGAACACCTCTACACTACACTTCCACGATGATTTACTGGGATATTGGGTAAGAGGGTTGGGATTGCAGCAGGGGTCGTTTTGGTAAACGATAAGATTAATTGATGTCCTAACGATATGGAGGGGTTACTGTATAAATAAATAAAAAGTAATGATCGCACCCAAATAACCAAGTGGAGCTGCACCAACAGTAACAGGTTTTTCCTCGTCGACTTTCTCCGACCCATCGCAGGTATCTCCTTTCTCTTTACGTGATAATTATAATTGTAGACGGTCTGCTTGACATCAACACGGACCTGTCAGGGCTTTGGTAGAATTTACAGGAAATATGAGCATGAGCATGATTGACTACCCGCGTCCGCTACTCTGTTGCTGCCAGATCAGCTGTAATTACACAGAGAACCAACAGATGCTTGGGACTAACATTCATCCTCAATCAAGGTTGCAAATACTCATTTCAGCTAAAATAATGTTTTTCGGAATAAAAAAAAAACCAAAAGATGGTATGATGGCATGTTTTACTTGTAACTTACAAGAAGAGGTTACAAAGTAAGCGTTTGAAACATAAAACCTGTAAATTTTGCTTTCTATGAGTCACAATCAGCGATTTTCTGATCGCTGAGTGAGTGAGTGAGTGAGCGAGTGTGTGAAAAATCGCTGATTGTGACTCTCATGAAGTGAAATAAACAGGTTTAATATGTCAAACACATTCATTGCAACCTCTTCTTGTATGCTACCACTTCAAAATATGATCATGACATCTAATTATTTCATAATTTAAAAAAAAAACAATGTTTTTTTTCTGAAAGAAGTATTTGCAACCTTATCCTCCATGTGTAAAAACTGGTGATCTCATACTTTTCAAAGGCAATACCAGCGTCGGCCGCGTCCGAATGCATGTCAATTGAGGAATGGGTAGAAATATGTTGACGGGAAAATTCGTGTTGTACGAAGCCGAGAAATCCTCATCTCTTCCACGAGAAATCACTGGGATGTTGAATATAAGGGTTGGGTTCGTTTTGGTAGACGATACGCTGTATTAAGAGAATGTGTTCATGTTAACCTAAATTTCTGGATTTGCCTCAACGAAAGCTGAAATAAAAATCATCAAAATCATAAATCCATAGATCCATCATCAAAGAGCTGAAAACTAATTTAAACAAAGCAAATTTAAAGATTCAACCAGGGCGAAAGCTGAAAAGATTGAATCAGTACAATATAAATCTAAAGATGTTTCATCATTAATGAGGTGAAAAGAAAAGAGAATCAATATAATGTTAAGTTTTAAAATCACATTTTGCATCTATTTATTCGCACACTAATACCAATGCTGCTCCTATGGAACAACTAATATAAGTGACCCATGAGACGTTTCGCAGTTGACTTGACAGCCAGTATTGTTATTACCATGTACTAATATAAACAAATAAAGCGATAAACGAATCATGCATGTAGAGAGGTCTGAGATTATACTCATGATGCTCTGCTCAGTAAGCAAAAACGGTCGCTCTAAGGCCATCGAGTCCCTCATATCACATCATACAATCTACGATCGCGTTGTTGTTTCAACCATTCATACCCGGCACCGACGACGATACCGACAAGTTTCGCAAAACACAAGAATGTGACTATAGGTCTCCTTAACACGAAAGGACCTGGGATTGATCCCACGTTTTTCTGCTCAGGAAGCAAAAACGGCTGAGTCCCTCATATCACAAAACACCACTTGCGATCAAGTTGGTGTTATAACCATTTAAAGTTAACGGCTGTGAACTTTCAAACCCGAAGACCAAAAGCTACTAATAGCACTTAATATTCCACTAAAGACCCTATCATCAAAACATAGTTTTAAAGGGTGGCCAGATTTCATTATCGGTAGCTTCACAAAACTTTTATCGGTAGGCCGTCTTAAGAAGGCTTCCTCAAACTTAAAACCTTTGTGAGCGGGGGAAGGATGAAAACAAATCACGCGCAATTTTGGACTTTCGAACCGAGCCATCAGTTCTTCAACCTCACACATGGATGCTAGTCTAATCTAGAGTCGGTGTATAATGATTCACGCCAAGAGTGAAGCCAAGTCTACCTATTGAACTGTCAAACCGGCTACCTATCGTGCAAAGTAAACAAAAATTACGATGCTATGAAAGGTCCACGAAAGGTATTGCAATAAAATAAAAAAAATAAAATTGAAGAAATGATCATAAACACGCAGTGAGCATTAAATTGTCATGGGATACGTTTGGTAATGATGAGTAAGGAGAATTTCTACTATTGTTTGATAACATAATTTGACAAAATCGCTGATATAATGATTTACTACAGCGCTATTTTTATTTTTCTAGCTAGAAGTCATTTGAAGTTGATGTAGAAGTCCTCTGTTGCCAAGTGAAAAGAAAGGGAATCATTCGAAAACCGTGATGCGAGTTCAACTGTTTTTCTCTTGGCGTGACTCATTATACACCGACTCTAGTCTAATCATAACAAGTATGTGTGAGTAGGACGAACGGAATACGGAACTAAAAAGGGAGAAACAGAAAATAGCATCTCCGCTAGGAGACAGACAGAGAAATTCGATTAAGCGTAAAAAAAAACTCATCCGTTTGGATTGAAGTTGCAAAAGGCGAGGCCGAACGCGATTCAAATTGACTGACTACACGGAAAACAAAACATAGGTATTGAACATTTTTCAAGATTTATTAAAATCTGTGATTCTCGGTAGGAAAAGTGAAAAATCGGTAGTTTTGAACCTTCGTCTGTGAATCGGTAGGTATCCCGAAAATCGGTAGGTATGGCAACCCTGAGCAGTAGTTTTTTTTCTGGTTAAAAAACAGTTTTTTTTTACAAAAAAATCTTTATTGTTAAAAGTCTTCTCTTTCTCTAATCTACCAATTTATTAAATACTACATTTTCAGCTCTTTAATGTACAACGTGTAGCTAACCTATAAGATTATATCGTTTCAAGAATCATCGCATCTCTGTCGGTTTATTGCACATGTTCCGGCCTTTTTCGGTCAAAAAGGCATATCAAATTCTACCAATACTACGAGTGTACTACTAAGGCTACTTTTGGCACCATGAAAATCAGCTTACTGTTTGTATCTCCACTTGTATGTGTCGTTTATATCTAAACTATGACACAAGACGTGGTTGTACGCTTGAAAAACTTAAATTCTAAACAATAAAAAAAGAACCTTAACTGAAAAATAATCAAATGATTAGAATAACTCGTTCGGATTTGATCGTCACAGAAAATATACAGTTAAAATACAGCGGTACGGCTGACTTAGGTTAGAAACGAAACTAATACAATAAAAGAAAACAAATGCAAGACTAGAACGTTCTCGTCCTTTTGATAAACAAAAATCAAAACTTAAAAATACAGAGAAATAATTTAAAAAAATAATCTTCTAACACTTAGCAAGCAAAAAGCATTGAAACTGTGGTTTTGTACAAAATTAGAAATTGATCTTCGCTTCGAAAATGCTTTTTGTTGAGAATATTGTATTTTTGGTCCAGCTGTAAAATCGCAATGAAACAATCCATGTACGTTCATGAATATTTAAGTATTTACATTTTCTAACTAATGCTAAATTATGGCACTTGAGTTCACAAATTTTGTGTCGAACAAATCTTCTTCCTGACACATTACCAATACTATTGCGTTGCAAATATTCTTAAAATCTACAAAATGTTGTCTCTAAATGCTATTTACCCCCAACAAAAAACGACTGCCTCTATGGGCTAGAAAAAATGTTACGCAATGACTGCGTAATTCTTTGGATATTCGTAATTGCTGCTACAACTACTACTGCTACTGATGCTGCTTCTACTACTGTCATTTCGTTCAACCGCTACGTGAGAGCTTTCCCGAGTATCCGTCTGCAGTCCTGCGTAGTATCCATCATGATGGTTACTGCTACTGGCCGTCGTCCGGATCACACTGATTCGATTGTCGGTAGCCGCCTTCAGTTGGGCTGACTTCTTGCAGTTGTCTTCCAGTACTTCCCGGATCTTCGCCCGCACAGCTTCCTTCTTGATCTGAAGTTCCGTCTGCAGGGCCAGATCCATGGGACTCATCGCCTGTTGCGGTGACTGATGATGCGCCGGGAAGTGTCCGTAGCCCGGCGAATAGCCACCGTCGTAACCACCAGTGGCCCGCTCCTTCTCGACTTTCCTGCGAGTCTTGGTGTGACCTTGCTTCGGGTGTTTTCCCGGCTTGTTCTTCATGCAGGACGAATCCTCGTGCTTGTAGAGGTACGACTTGAGGGCGAAGGCCTTTCCGCAGCGTGAGCACGAGTGGGGCTTCGTGTTTGAGTGGGTTTGGACGTGCGCCCGGAGATTCGATTTGTCGGCAAATGCCTTCTGGCAGACGCTGCATTTGAATGGTTTCTCACCTGTTGACGACGTAAATCAGATGATCCACGCCGGGAGAGGAAAAGAAAGGAAAATAGACGAAAGTTATGAGTGGTCGTGTTCATTTTTCGATATTTTCGAATACGGAAAATGATATAGGTTATACTGCTATATGCTACTAAGAGAGAGGGAGGAACAGGAGGGTTCGTGGTTTATTTATAGTTTTCACATGTGTCGAGTTTTTTTTTGCGTCATCGGCTGTCAGCTTTTGGCGAACCGCGACGGTGACGATGACGGCGACGACGACTTAGGCGGGACCTACCTGTATGCGTTCGGATGTGACCTTGTAGCAGCCAAGGGCGGGAGAAACATTTCCCACACGTGGGACACTGGCAGCCCTGGTTGTGCGTGCGGACGTGCATCGAGTAGGCCGGCATTGAGACGTACACCTTGGAACAGTGCGGACAGCGGCGAGCTTTCTTGTCTTGGAGGGATCTGCAACAACAACCAAATGGAGCGACTTTATTACATTGGTTTTGATTAAGCGTGGTAATGAGTACACTAGTACATTCCCAGGTATTTCTGTCATATTCCTAAAGATGTTTTTGCGCTTCTCCGACTTTGAGTTTAAAAGTGAAATTGGAGCTCAAATTAGAATTGATTACACCGAAACCCATTTCGATTGGGGGTCGTTAACATTTTCGAGATAAATGAGATTAAGGAAGTGATTTATTTAACTCATGCGACCCATTTTGAAGTATTCAATAAGCTCGCGACCCACCAATATTGAACACGGATGATACGGGTAAAATGACATTAAAAACTCCAAAAATTAGCCTTACAAACAAACAAACAAACAAGTTACCATCGCTATTGGACTGCTCGATCTCTTAAAGATAATGAAGACGAGCTATTTAACTTTTTGAAAGTTCATAACATGGATATTGCCGTTATAACTGAAACGTTCTTTAAACCCAACCATAAGGTTAAGAGGGACGCAAATTATTTGATTTATAGAAATGATCGTCTTGATGGACCCTGTGGTGGCGTTGCCATCATTGTTCATAGACGTATCAAACACAACATTCTTTCTTCATTTGAAAGTTTTTGAGACTTTGGGAGTTTCTGTTGAAACAAAATTTGGACAACTTACGTTTATAGCTGCTTATTTACCATTTCAATGCGTAGGCCAGCAAAAGAATTTTCTCAAGGGTGACCTTCAGAAACTTACCCTTTATAGGTCTAAATTCTTCATTATTGGTGATTTTAATGCAAAACACCGCTCATGGAATAATGCTCAAAGCAATTTCAATGGTAATATTTTGTTTGATGATTGCTCTGCAGGTTATTACACTATTCAATATCCAAACAGCCCAACATGCTTTTATTCAGCAAGAAATCCCTCAACTATTGATTTGGTCTTAACTGATTCATGTCAACTTTGTAGCCAATTGGTTACCCGTGCTGACTTCGGTTCTAATCACCTTCCAGTAACTTTTGAAATATCCCAAGAAATAATTTGTAATCTCAACAGCTCTACTTTCAATTACCATAGAGCTGAGGGAGCAATATCGAACATTTATGGAATATAGCTCCGATCCAAACATTCCTTTGCAAACCAAAAATGATAGAATTATGCTCTTGAATCTCTGACTACTTCTATAGTTGAAGCAAAAGTTGCCTCAATACCAATATGCGAGGTTAAATTCGATTCAATTATAATAGACGATGACCTTCAGCTCTTGATCCGTCCTAAAAAATGTCCGTAGGAGACAATATCAAAGAACACGCGATCCTGCCATGAAAGTTATCTGGCGGGATTTGCAAAAACCAATTAAAAAGCGATTCTCTGCCCTGAGCAACAAAACTTTTGAAAATAATGTTTCTAAATTAGACCCGAGCTCCAAACCCTTTTGGAAACTCACAAAAATTTGGAAACCTCAAAAGCCTATTCCAGCCAAGGTTACTGATACTCGCATCGTATGACTCAAAAGCGCTTACCGTCTCCGAACGCGTTTGGAATAACGAAAGCAAAGCATACATTCCTGAACGAACCGAACGATGCCATTAACGCAAGTCTTTGTGAGTGACCTGTGTGCAAAGAGTATTCGTGCTGCCTTCTATTCACTCTCGTTCCATTCTCATCGTTCTTTACGAACTGGTGTGATCGGATAAGAGTGCAGGCCTCAATAAACGTTCACGGTGAGTCAGTTTAATACTCGCGGCGAGTGCTACCGGTTGCCAATATGAGCAAGACGTGCATTGGAAGTTTAAAAAGGAAGAAAATATGGCATTGGGTGCAAATATCGTTGCCTCGCCGATATAGACGCGGATCGGTGTTCAATCCGGGGAAAATCAAATGTCACTTTAATGCCTGCCACCCGAAAGTGGCCCAAAGGCTAGATATTGTGGAGGAGACTAAGGACCTGGAACAAAACCTGCAAAACGTGCAAAACCGAAAGTGCAAGTGGACATTACTAGGGCTGATGTGCTCCTGGGTACGTTGCAAATAGTAACGGATCACATCCTTCCCATAAGGTATCCAGAATAAAAAGGTGCAAATTTGATTTTGGGCCCCCTGTGGAAGGCGTGTGGTCTGAAAATCTCCCGGAATACTCTGCCTCCGTCAATCCACAGAGGCGCTGAAATCATGCGGTAAATTTTGTCTGCAAAATTTCGGCAGAAGGCAGTTTGCCTAAAAGTTGCGGCCACCCAATATTCAAAGTCAGCATTTGCCATAAATTTATCTTTGCATGGTAAGGTAAGCCTATTGCAAATTAATAAACGCATCGTGCCAATATTACAATTGCCATTTGGTATTATTTGAATCATCGGAAACAACTAGGGGCTGTTCGTAGCCGACACAGAGAGGTGAATTTTGAACACACCAATTGTTCCTGTTGGTGGTGAGTCAACCAGGTGAATTCCTAACGCTGATTTGTACGACCTCATCAGCTTGTTTTTTCTCAAATTTGTGCTGGTACTTCCTGGATAATTTATCATAAAATACCAAGTAGAAAGGATCCACAAAGAATGGTCTAGTGAAATCAGATTAGGAATTTAGCGAAGGATGGATTTTATAAAAAGTAAAAAAGACGAAAATCATGTATTACCAAAAACGGGAAGATACTATATTTTACATCGATCGCTCAGGTTGGAGTAAAAAACAAATCTAGCTAATCGATTTTTTTTATCAACAAATTGACATAGAACCTGTTGAAAGAAACCGTTTTTATATTTAATTATAGTCCCTTTAACATTCTTGGTTCATTCGTAACTTGTGAGATTTGAACTCGTGACTTTAGTTCAAGAGGTATGAATCTCACAATTCCAGGACCCACCCTCAATTCCTTATTTTGTGATGCTTTATTTATTTTATTTTATTTTATTTTATTTATTTACCCTTCATCTCAAACAAAGAAATAACTAATATTACACGTGACGAAACCAATCTTTGACATAAAAGATGAGACGTTAACACACATGTCATGTAATATTAAGTGCTCCGAGACTGAAAAGTTCGTTGCTCGACGAAAAGTACGTTATGTCAAAATTGTCGTTTGTATAAATCACTCTCAGAGCACCTAAATTTACATTATTTTTTTTCTAAGTGTGTTCTAATCCAAATAAAAAATAGCATTGCAGATGCATTGCCAATCTTTTCCTGGATTAGTAATGCAATTAAAAACCTGATTTTGACAGCTCCCTTTCTGAAAATATTTTCGAAAAATCTTGGAAACTCATGCTCTTTTCATTTATTGCACAGAAAGAATAAAATCAGAAAGATTTTGAATTGTGGCTGAAATTAAAATGATTCACTGATAAGTCTGATGCGTGGCGAGGCTGATAAAATATGATAATTACTGTAACCGGTATATGTGACTTCACTGATCAGAACTCCTGTCCGATATCCACAGCTTAGCAGAAATTGCCATAGTGAGTTCGTTGAAAGATCTCCTCTACACTTCCGACCACATGGGATTATGCTTACGTTTTTTTTAACTAAACGCATCAAAATGTGTTTTTCATACTACCTTTAGATTGCTTGAAGATTCAACGATAGTGTCACACGATCACCAATTTAGGCAATGAACCAACACATTCCATTCAAGATTACAGATTACAATTTTGTACCACATGTTTAATTGTGTCAAACGCGCTATGGATTTTGGTCAACTGCACCAATGTTTTGAACCCGGAACTGTAGGAGCATATGCTAATATTATTTACATGTTACTAGCTGACCTGACAAACGACGTGCTGCCTACAAAATAAAAAAATAATCTGGAAAATCCTTCAATCCGTTTTCGAGTTACAGCATGACATAAGAGCACCGTTTAATTTTTATGTATAAAGATTTTTCCTAACTTAAAGTTACCGTTCTCGCGCATACGCCTGATCTGTACGCACAGTAGTGCGATTACTGAATCATTAAAAATGCTTCGCTTTAGCGCAGCGTCAATCAACCACTCAAGCGTCCAGCTTAGTATATCGCATCGCCGTGAACGCTCGTGGCGAGTGGAATCTTGCATTCTTTGTGAAGATTGCCCACAAACGAATAGAAATCGAATTGAATGAACCCAGCTAAACTCGTCCAGTAGCAAACAAGTGGATGAGTGACGATTGCTGATTTTCCTAAAACCGTAACTCAGCGAATGACGAGAGAATGTAGAAGAAGCGCAAAATCGAATTATTTAACATCATTCGTGGGAGATATATTCTCGCGCACGAGAAGAGAGCCGCTCTCATGCAGTACTACTTCAGCAACAGCGAGAGAAATATATAACGAATTGTGCTTCGCTGCGAGGATCAGCAACCTTGATTCCAGCGCTTAAAGAAGGTGGTAAAATTTTGATCACAAATTCGGAAAAAGCTCAGAAACTAGCTAAGCAATTTGAGAGTCTTACTAATTCTTTAGAGAATCAGGTTGGTCGGGATTATCTGAATATTTTCTCTCGGGAAAATATTTTTGATGATTCCTGGGGGACTGCCCAACAAACAATTTTAGCTGCTGATTAGCTTATGCAGCCAAAATTTGCCTTATGCAGCTAATTTTTGCCTGTATAAGCTAAGCTGCAGCTAAAATTGTTTGTTGGGTGATTTGGACGAAGTAAGGTCTATAACTAAAAAGTTTCATAATATGAAAGCTTCAGGTGATGATGGAATTTTCTATATCCTCATCAAAAAACTCCCAGAGAGTACCTTGTCTTTCTTGGTAAAATTATTAACAGATGTTTCCATTTAACATACTTTTCATGATAAATGGTAAAATGCAAAAGTTGTTCCAATTTTGAAGCCGGATAAAAATCCAGCTGAAGCTTCTAGCTACCGTCCAAAAAGTTTGCTTTCTTCAATAAGTAAACTTTTTGAAAAGATAATTTTCAATAGAATGATGCTTCACATCAATACAAACTCAATTTTTGCAGATGAGCAGTTCCGATTTCACCATGGGCATTTAACTACTCATCAACCCTTAAGAGTTTCCAATTTAATTCGTTCAAACAAATCTGAAGGTTGTTCAACTGAAGTTGCTCTTCTAGACATAGAAAAAGCATTCGACAGTGTTTGGCATGAAGGTTTGATTGCTAAATTGAAAAAGTTTAATTTTTCCTCTCTATATTATGAAATTAGTTCAAAATTATTTAACTGACAGAACTCTGCAGGTAAATTATCAAAATTCCAAATCTGAACGACTACCTGTTAGAGCTGGAGTTCCTCAGGGTAGCATTGGTGGGGTTATATTGTATACCATTTCACTTCGGACCTTCCTGATTTGCCTCAGGATTGCCGCAAATCTTTGTTCGCTGATGACACAGGCATTTCCGCTAAAGGAAGAAGTCTTCGTGTTATTTTCAGCAGATTGCAGAAAAGTTTAGATATTTTCGCTTCTTATTTACAAAAATGAAAGATTTCTCCCAACGCTTCCAAAACTCAACTTATAAAATTTTCACATAAGCTTAGAGGATCAGAGATGTTATGCCTCAGAACATCCCGACGGCGCCAATTGGGATTGAACCGAGGCCTGCTGGGGTGAGAGGTAATCACGGTTACCACTAAACCACCGGCGCCGTTGCTGATTTAGCCTATTTGTAACTCGGATTCATGGTTAAAAATTTACAGATATTTATGTGTGATTCAATTTTATCGTGGACACCCTTTATTTCGAAAGTTTTGGTTCCTTCTCGTCTTAGTCATGATATTGATACATTTCATGGTTTACGCGTGTAAATCTGTACGCTCCTTTCAAAATTCAAGCATGCACTTTTACGAATAACTGAGTATGCAAAGATCCTAGAAACCCGAAACTGTGTAATTGTTTTCGCAACTCCCTTAGGAAACTCTGGCAATCACAGATTGAAAATTCCTCCGCTAGCACGCACAATACTCACCGATGCGTCTGCCGGTGCCGGGCCAGATTCGAAGACGTTGAATACTTCTTTCCACACTCCGGACAGCAGTGCACATCGTCCGTCGAACCAATCTCATCGCCACTGCTGGCCGTCGTACGTTCGCCGGCTTCTCTCAGTTCACGACATTCTCGGTCATCGATTCCGTACTCCAGCCGTTCTCCGCCTGCGCCGCGGTGAGCGTCTTCACCATAGCTGTAACTGCTTCCACTGTTCCACGATAGCGTTCGGGACTTCTTTCGATCGAACACCTTATGGGAGTACGAGTAACTAGAATCCTCCGATTCTTCCGAAGCGTACGAACTCCTTCGGTTCAGAGGTTGTTCTTCCTCGGTCAGCGCACGGCTGCTACTGCCCGACCTCGTCGGACTCGTCTCGGTAGCACTCTCCACCGCTCTTATCGTCGAAGTGTAGTACGTCAGACCGCCACCCGTTTCGTACGAGTCATCGTCATCGGCACGTTCATCTGCATCCCTTATCTTGTTGATCCTTTGAGCTTGCTGTAATTTAAGATTCCGGTTGATCTCCCAGTTTGTCTTCCACTTTTTCTTCGTGGCTGAGCAAGACTGTAGGTGTTGCTGTTGTTGCTCTTTCTTTTGTTCAATCGGCGGAGGCGATGGACTATTTGGATAGCCTTTTCGTCCGTCTTCGTTATCTTCCCGAAGCGAACCGTGATAAGAAAGTGCGTACTGATAGTACTCGGCTGGGTGATAACCGGCTGATTCATGCTGCAAGGTGTAGTACTTGTCTGCACCGTACTGTGCCTGGTAGTGATGGTGATGATGATGGTGGTACTGCTCTCCTGGTGATGCGTTGGTGGCGGTACTCAATTTACCGGCAGCAATCGATACCTCCGCCAGCTGGGTGAGGTTGTACAGCTCTTCCGGAACGCTACTGCTGGGCATTTCCTGAACCATCTCGACTCAGTTGCAGCGACCCTGCGGAGAAATGAAATACGAGAAAAGGCAATTAAAATCTACTAAAAACAGATTCATCTATGGCTAGAGCATGATGGCAGTGAGCGTAGACCATATCCCGGAACTACGCGAACGTAAACTAATAATCCCTCAACGCCCCCTTCCGCACCCGTGTCGTCCACAGAGATATTGCTTTTAGAGGTGAAAATCATCAAAAGGAAATTTATTGCTTTCATATGGCGGCGATGCTTACTCTGCCGGTTAATTATATTTATAGACTTCCCTAAACAACCACTCGACTAGGTGAGATTGGTTGCGCGGTTCGAGGAAAGTTTCGATTCTAATTAGACCGGAGATGGATTTGACTTGGAAGCGATTGATTCAACAATGTATAGGAAAAGCTGTATAGGAAAAGAAATTATTGTACATTAAATCTTGGCCGTTTTTTAGCTGAAAACAAACCCTTTTGTGTTGTGAAATCATATCTGCCTCTTCGGAAAGAAGACCACACATTCCAACAGTTAAAAGGTCAAACCACTCACACCTAATCTTCCCTAAAACCCCGCAGCGCCAATCATTATCTCAAGCCTCTTGAGTCAAAATAGACTTCCGCTCCTGTTTTTTCTCCTATCTTCCTGCTGCTTCTCGGAAGTTCATCTTCCAAAATACAACCAGTTCCATAAGTCATCGCACTCGAGCACGCGCGTCTCCACACACAAAGCCGACCCCTTTTCTTCGGAAAATTACTTTGTTTAGATTAACACGGAACACTTCCCATATACCTCACCTATACCGACCGAAGCAGCTCCTGCTAAACCACACCAAACTGTGCATCATCCTCTCAGAATCAGAGTGGTGTGTTGTTTTGCTGTTTCCACTATTTTCATTATTTTCCTTTCTACAACCCCCCCATCCTCCTTTCATCAACGGCGATGGTGTGTAATTGTTGTTGGGTCAAAATCAAAATAAACAATGTAAACATACACACACAGGCGCACACATCGTCGTAGGACACATTCAGGAAGCAAACAGAAGAAGGAGTAATCCTATAAATTTCCACTTTATGACTTTCTCTTATTGCCACCAACCAGCCGGCGGCGCATTGCACTCCCGAATTTTCCCCCCAGTTTTCCCAGCTTCGTCGTCGCTCGCTTTCACGATCGTGTGTTTATATCTACCAAATGCGCCGAGAGCACAAGCTGTTCTCAAGAATCTACGTCGTTCGTACGGCGGCGCCGCGGTCGGCCGTCCGTCATATGTTCATGTTCATGTTCACACTAAACAGATGGCTACAGGTTGCTGCCATCATCATCATCATCAGCATCATCATTGTCGTCGTCATCGTGGCTGGGAAAGGGGTGGATCAACCAGCAGAGCGTTCGGGATGAACATTTGAGATGCGCAGTTTCGCAGAAGAAAGGGGAAAGTGCTGAATTGTGAGTGGTTTTTACACTGCTATGAGAGGATGAATGTGGAAATGGTATAGTTATCCTTTTACTTTGAGGGTAATTTAACTGCCTTAATCTGGTTTTTTGGAAGCATATTTTACTTAAGCTCGGCACACACACACATTTGCCCATGTGGTTGTCCCTTATGTTCTTCGACTGTTCTAGAAATATCAAATCAAATAGTTCGGAGTTCTCTCATCAGACAGCGTCGGTGTACACTAGTAATTCCATGTCCGGGATCCTTGTTTTGGATGTCGATTTTTTTTTTCACTCCAGTCCTCATCATGAAGTATGTTTTGTGTCCAATATAATGGAAAATCTTAAATCAAGAAGTCCGAAATTCTAATATTTGTTCCATATTGAAGTTCTTGATATAAAGAAATCGTTTTCTGCGATCCCTCTTCTTCTTCTTCTTCTTCTTCTTCTTCTTCTTCTTCGCATTTTAAGCTTATTGCTTATCGCATATTAGCTTATTGCGTGCTCTCAACTTAGTGTTCTAGATGCACTTCCACAGTTATTAATTGAGAGCTTTCGATACCTGTACCATTTTTGCATTGGTATAATTGTGTGGCAAGTCCTATCATACTTCTATGCCCAGGGAAGTCAAGAAATTTTCCAACCCGAAAAATTCCTAGACTGAACCGGGAATTGAACCCAGCCACCTCCAGCATGGTCTTGCTTTGTAGCTGCGCCTTTACCAACTGAGCTAAGGGAGGCCCCACTTTCTGCGATCCCAAAACAATTAAAATTACAAGTTCATCACCGCCACTGTATGCAGAAGAGCCGCCGGAACAGATAAAGGGAGGGGTGTCCTTCCTGGAGGAGACGAACACGGACTGTCAGTTGACTTAAAGCGACCGGGTGAGAATAAAATCCCCCGCACTAGTGAGATCAGTACTTTAGCTCAAGCAGGGTTGCTTCCACTCACTTCACTTTAAAAAATGTTTTTGGAATTTCGGTTTCAGATAGTCACAATCAGCGATTTTACCATTCGTGAGTGTTCACTTAGAGTGAGCACTCATTAATCATAAAATCGCTTATTTGGACACTCTGAAAGCAAGGTTCTATATGTCAAAACATACAACAACTTCACAACCACTTTTTGTAACTCACAAGCACAAAACATTCCCGGGAAATTTACCATAAATCACATTTCCCGATTCCTTGAAATTTTCTGTAATTGTGTGCTCCCAGGACTGAAAGTCTCCTTAATAAATATACATAAAAATGTGTGCAGAACACTTAAGGAATTCCCTTCAGAAAATTCTTTAAATTTACTCTACAGTTACTCTTTGTATTCTTAAAAAAAATTCGCGAGAAATTGCTGTAATTTCTCTCCATTGTATTCTTTACAATTCACTTGCAATATTCCTGAAAATCTCTTGGTATGACATATAGAATTTTGAAAAGTGTTATCCCGAAATTTTCTTGGATTTCACCTTTGGATTTGCATAGAAATTTTCCTCAGAATTTCTTTGAAATGCTTCGCAAAATGCTCTTGAGGCGGATCTCCTGGAATACTCTTGAAACTCTCCTTAGAATTCCTTTGGAAATTTCTTCAGAATGTCCTGATACAATATTCAGAGTTTCTTAAGAAATATTCTTAAACATTTTAGTCATATCCTCCCAAACTTTTCGACGTTTCTTCAAAATTCTTATAAATTCTGTTAGGAATTCTTTGAAACTATCATCAAGCTAGCTTAAAGTTTTGCAAAGAATTGTTTTGGCTATATTCCCAAGGAACATTGCGAGCTTTATCACGGTTTTAAAGCATTCTACAAGTCTAAATCATAGTCTGCAGAACCCTCATAAAACCCCAATTGCTACTTGGGTTAAGAATTAAATTCTCTTCGAATTATACATATTTCGTTGAAGCTCTCATCAAAAGTTCTTTTTGATTAATCGATAGATCAACATTTAATAGAGTTTCAGCCGTAGGTAATAGTTAGGTGTAGTGTCAGGATTGCAGTCATATCATCATTAAGTTTGTCTCATGTGTGACCAGTAAATCGGGAAATCTAGAAAGCCATGACAAATCCGGGAATTCATACTCACCGGGAAAAACCCGTGAATTTCTATGACAAATCGGGAAAATATACTTCGTCCTTTCCTCGAGAAAAACAAAATGGTTTTGGACCCTTGTACTGGATTTTCAGGATACAGTCACTGATGAACTATAGTCAACTCTATATATTTAGATATTGAAGGGACCATCCCGATATGGAGAGATCGAGATATAGAGCATGAATGGCATATTAGACCGTTTGAAGGGATCGGGAAAGCCATCGAAATATAGAAATAAGTGGTCACATATCGAAATACAGAGCACCGAGATATGGAGAATTGAATGTATTACGATATTTTTTGAAAAAAAATGTCCAAATCAATTTAGAGCAGATTTTAGAGTGAATTCTAGAGATAAAATCATTGTAGGTAGGTAGGTGGATAGTTCCGTTGGAGTACGGCAGTATGAAAATTGAATAGAAGTTGAAAATGTGCGAAGGGAGCAACACAATAGTTGGGTAAAGAAGAATTGCATTATAACACACCATCGACTGGAAATGCTCTCGGTAACGTGGGGACTTAGGTAGTGATGAAACGTCGCTAGAACTATTCCACAGCCGCAGACAGTAATGAGCAAAGGCGGGCGCACACTTTTGCCTGTCGATTTGAAGACATACTTCAAATCTCCGCGTACATCGTACGGGTTAGGCAAAAGGTGTGCGTTTGACTTTGTACTGTCGCATTAATGGCCCTTCGCTAATTTTCAACTTCTATTCAATTTTCATACTACCGTACTCTAACGGAACTATCCACCTACCCTTTTCTAAGATCATTCTCTAGCTAATTAATTATCGCACTAAAGCTTCATGTTAGATAGCATTTCCAACCAACTCTGAAAATCGCAAACTTCGCGTATGAAGTAACATAAAAACACTTTGAAAGAATCATTGTACCTATTTAGAGAAAATGCCCTAGTGCGTTTTGAGATGAACTCTAAGAGAGTTTTGACTATAACCAAATCAATTATGTATGTTAAAGTGATAAAGTCTATGAAATAATCAATTATGTGATTTCAGAGTAATTTAAAAAAAAACTCTTGAAAAAAGCCATGGCGAATGTGAAGAGGATTCCAGGATCCATGAGAAATACCAACGGAATCGAATTTGGAAACTTCAATTACAAAGTCATCTCTTCTCTTTGCATCCCCACGGCCATTGAAAGAAATTTCCAGGTATTTTAACACACAGTTCGTTGAAAAAAAAACTATTAAACACGACAAGAAGCCAGTTATCAACGAAATAGAAACTTGATTAAGAGAATTGACAATGTTACTTAGGACCTAATGCATTAGCTTGAAAAATGCGAGAGTTTTAAGAAAATAAGGATAAGTTCAGGGACATCTCAAAAAAAATTCCAAGTGAATTTTCAGTAGAATATAGAGAAGAACTTCAAAATAATTTTGTGTAATATTGTAAGACAATTCTGCGGTTAATTATATGGGAATTAAGAAACTAAGAAGAGTTCAAGCCAATTAAAAAACTGGAAGGATGCTTCATTCGATTCGAAGAG